GAGTAGCAGCAGTAGCCGGTTTAATGCTACGATGGGAGTAGCGATGGAGAGGCGCGGCGGAATGGGAGGAGGAGGAGGAGGAGGAGGAGCAGGAGGAGGCGGTGTTGCTGCTGGTGGAGGAGGAGCAGCAGAGATGAGCAGTGGCCATTTGAGGTATCGTGCGGATTCGCCGCAGCAACAGCAGCAGCAGCAGCAGCAGCAGCAGAGTAGGCAGGTTCGTTCGACGTCAGTTGTTGTTATCGAGCTGGAGAGTGGGGAGCATTACATAGTGGTGAGCTCTTCTAGTCGGTCCGACACTCAAGTGATTGGCATCGACCCGATGACTGGTGCTCTTCGCTATGTTGGAAAACCTGGTTTAGATAACTTCCCCACGGAAGTTTCGGCTTTGGAGTTCCTTACATGCGGCAACAGAATCCTTCTCAAGAGCAGAACTCTCGGTTGCGCCATCTTAGGGTACGCGGCTTTGGGCATCATCGGTGCGCTATTGATAGCCACTAAAATCCGAGCCTCGATCCCTGACCTCCCTGGTAGCGGCTTCGACGTCGTTCATACCGTTACTGAGAGTCTATGGATCAAGATTCCGTTGAAGTGTCCTCAGCAGCCTCTTAAACAGGAAGTCAAGAACGCAGATGATTTGACCAACATGGAAATCGATAACATGTATTTCTACTGCGAGACTCGGGACATCTCTCGTCCTTTCCCTAGCGCGCACAATTTGGAAGACGCAGATGTAGAGTTCGTTTGGAACGAGTGGATGTCGGCACCGTTTAAGAGATTAGGGTTACGCAAGCACTGTGTTGTTTTGCTGCAGGGATTAGCAGATAGCCGAAAATTCTCGGACGCGAGTGGTGAGGAGCTGCGGGTGGCATTGATAGCGCGGCGCAGCAGGCTTCATCCGGGAACGCGATACATAGCGCGCGGATTGAACGCTGCGTCGAGCACAGGCAATGAGGTGGAGTGTGAGCAAATAGTTTGGCCCTCTTCAGGCGACCACCCATCATCGTCGTCAGGTTGGCGATCATCGTCGGCGGCGGGGCGGCTTACCTTCAGCACGTACTTGTGGAGGCGAGGAACCGTTCCGATCTGGTGGGGGGCAGAGATCAAATCGAGCGTCCAGGAGGCAGAGATCTACGTGTCTGACGATCAGCCTTCTCATGGGATAACCACGTATTATCGCCGGCTATCTCGTCGCTATGGCAACCTCTTCTCTTCCGCTGCTTCTTCGTGTTCTACTTCTTGTTCTTCTGCTTCTGCTGCTTCTTTGTCGGCAGATTCGAGGGATGATAGGATGATGATGATGATGGCGAGTGACGGTGGAGGTGGTGGTGGTGGGGGTGGAGGGGGGGGGGGGGGAAGGGGGATGGAGATGGCGTCGGCGGGGAAGAAGCCGGTGATTGCTTGCATCAATCTGCTGAGAAGTGCAGTCGGAAGGCCGGAATTCGAGTTGTCTGATAGGTTTGAGAAGGTGGTACAGGAGGTACGGTGCGCAAAGGAAATGGATGACACCGATTTACAGATACAGACGTACGATTGGCATACGAAAATAAAAGCGGTGGGGGAACCAAAAACGGTGGAAGGGTTGTGGGATGTGCTTAGGAAGCCGATGATGGACATTGGGGTCTCGATCGCTGAGTATGTTCCTCCCCCTGGCAATTCGCATAGCGGGAGAGGAGGAGGAGGAGGAGGGGGAGGAGGAGGAGGAGGAGGAGCAGGAGATAGCGGTGCTGCTGCGGGTTCCGTGCAAGGTGGATTGGTCATCTTGCCGAATACTGGATTAGGTGGGGGTGTTTTCCGCGTAATGACACGCCAGCGGGGTGTGGTGCGATTCAACTGCGCGGATTCGTTAGATAGGACAAACGCTGCCAGCTTTTTTGGTGCCGTTCAGGCGTTGGCAGAGCAATGCAGAAGAATTGGGCGTCCCATAGATTGGAGAGGCGGGGGATTCGTTGTTGCAGGAGGAGGAGCGAAGTGGGGAGGAGGGGAAATGATAGGAGGTAGTGGGGGTAGTGGAGGAGGAGGAGGAGGAGGAGGAGGAGGAGGTGGTGGCGTTGGTGGTGGTGATGATGGTAGGCAATGGAATGGTGGCGGCGGCGGCGGCGGCGGCGGCGGCTACGGGCCTCTTCCTCCTGGTTGGGATATGAGAAAAGACGCCGTCACTGGTCGCTTCTTCTATATCGATCATAATACGCGAACCACCACTTGGGACCATCCCAATCAAAATCTCTATCACCGGCAACAGCAGCAGCAGCAGCTCGGCGCGCTTGCGTCGTCAGTCAAGGATTCCGCCGATGGCGGCGGCGTCGGCGGCGGCGGAAGCGGAAGCTGGGCGAGCGGCGGCGACTTTTCGAGGAGGAATAAGACTGCTGCTGCCTCGGAGGCAGGAGGAGGAGGAGGAGTTGATAATCGAAGCGGGACGACGGAGAAAGCCTGGAAGCGGTTCGACTATAGTCTTGACCTCGTCAAGCAATACACTTTGCCCCGCCCTCTGGCCGTCCTTGGCGAGTTGTTTCTTTTGGCGGGAGATATTCATGCTACTTTGTACACTGGCTCTCGGGCAATGCACAGCCATATCATCCATATCTTCAGCGAAGATGCAGCCAAGCAGAAGCGAGTGGCGGCCGTCAGCAATGTGGGGATAACCTTGCAAAGAAGGTACGCGAACATGCTCGTCGACAAGACCCGGCAAGCGCAATTGGAGATGTTCTTGGGAGCGAGGAGGCACAAGTACTTTCCCACGGTCCCGGAGAAACCGCTGCAACTGGGCACTAGACCGTTCGCCTCGGTGCTGAAGGTGGTTCCGTTTTCGTTCCAGATGGTTTACCCACTGAATTCCTTGTTGAGTTCGTCGGGATTCGGAGGCGGCGGAGGTGGCGGAGGCGGCGGAGGCGGCGGTAGCATCGGCAGCGGGAGCAGCAACAACAGCAGCAGTTGGAAGGATAACTGTTGGGTGTGTTCCCCCCCCCCGGGTGCGACAGGCGCAGAGGAAGCTGTCGTCAAAGTGTACATGCATTTGTCTGAACCTTGTCACGTGTGCCAGCTCGTACTGACGATCGCCCATGGGCAAGATGACACCACCTCTCCCAGCGGCTTTGATGTGTACGCTGGGCGGGATTTAACTGATCTCAAGCCGTTATTGAAGGGTGCCGTTGTGCCGAAATGTGCATCGGGTACCCAGCTTCTTTACCCCTTGTTGCTAGATCCATCGACGGTGGACAAGACCGATTTTCCGTCTTCTTCTTCTTCGTCGTCGTCGTCTTCTTCTTCCCCTTCTTTATCGTCGGCGTTTGCTGCTCAGCCGGACGTCGGGTTCATGGCGGCAAACAGCAGGCGAGGGGAAGATCACTCTCTAGTTTGGCTTTACGACTTCAACGAACCAGAGGGACGAATCGACTTCCTGACTCGGGTGGTTGTTGTCGTGTTCTATCGATCGGGGTATCCCATGACGCTGGGCCCTATCGAAGTGCTGGGTTGCTCGCTCCTGCCGTCGTGTAGTCGGCCGGATCTCCTACGCATAGACCACAAGGACGTTGTAGCTGCGTTCTGTAATTCCGCAAGAGATTGGTACAGCAATCCGGCGGCGGCGGCGAATCCTCCTGGATTGATGGGAAGCAATCAGGAACGGGGGACGGTTCATTCTGCTGCTGCTGCTGCTGCTGCTGCTCCTCGATCTCTTCCTCCTCGTCTTCCGCAGCAGCAGCAAGCGGTGCCCATCAACTCTGCAGGGCCAATGACCGATCTACTCCTGCTTGATGATGACATGGCAGGCAGCAATTACCGTGGAGCTGGGAGTGGAAGTGGGGGGGGGAGTGTGATCCCTGCATCCACGCTCTCTCCATCTCCTCCTCCTACTACTCCTACTCCTCTCATTCCCGTCGATTCCCCAGTTGCTTCTGCAGGCTTCGCAGGCCAACGGCCTTCTTCCACACCGTCCTTCGGTGGGACTGGCGGAGGTGCAGTGTTCGACTTGCTATCGGATTTCGGCAGCTTGAACGTGAATGCAGGAAGCGGCAGCAGCAGCAGCAGCAGTAGCAGTAGCAACAACAACTGGGCCGGGACGGTGGGATTTGGCTCAGCAAGCTCAGTGCCTCCTTCGTCTTCGTCATCAGGAGTAGCAGCAATACCGAGTCAGACTGCCAATGATTGGGATCCGTTCGGGCTATGGCCCTCCCCAGCACCGGCAGCGGCAGCGACAGCCGCTCCTCCTGTTATGCCAACGAGTGGCCATGGCGCAATGGGTACTGCCGGAGCGGTTGGGATCGGGAGCACGGTCACGGTCGCGACAAGGGGCCGCACGTCACCGGGGGTTGGGCCGCAGGTGGGCGCCGGTGAAGGGTATCATCGACCAGATCAGGGTCAATCGACTGCAGCCATGGACAGAGGCCGGGTGGGCTTGAACCCCGCGAACAATCCTAGTACTAGGGACACTAGTAGGCGACAAGCAGAAGCAGGAGCAAGAGGAGGAGGAGGAGGAGGAGGAGGTGGTGGGAATCAACCTGTACCCTTACTGGGGGGCGGTGGAACATCCGAGTATGATGCAATGAGTAAACGGGAGAGGATTGCAGAGTATGTAAGGCTTGTAAATACTTTGTCTGCCGCTGAGCAACAACAAGGTTGGGGGGGGACTCAGGCTATGTCTTTCGTGGATGCCATGGAGCTGGAGGTTGCGCGGCTCCGGTTGGGACTCTCGGCATCGGAGCGGAATGAGGCACTCGCTTCTGTCCGCCGCGATCCTGCCATGGTCAATCCTAACCGTCTGGTTAACCGGGGTGACGCCATGGTGCTGCGGCAAGCTGCGCAGCAGCTAGCTTCCATCACCCGTATGGCTGTGGAGGAACTGGAGGCTGCTACCCTGGGGGGTGCTGGTATCCCGCAAGGAGGAGCAGGAGAAGGGAGGGAAAGGGAGAGTGCGGGCTTGGCTTGGCTATCCAATCACCTTGTTCCAGTTCTTGGGCAGGGGCTTGCTTACGGTCCGCTGGGGAATTGCACCCATTCTGGATGTGAACTCAGCAAGCGGAGATCCGGCGGGGATGTGCAGATGCGAATGTTTGTTGGGGAAGGGGGGGGGAGCGACCAAGGGGGAGGTCTTCGGACGTGTGAAGCGTGTAGGCGAAGGGTCTGCTCAGCTTGTCTGATCGGAAACCCTGCAGGGAGTTTTGCTGGCTCGTTTGCGGGAGGAAATGCGGGTGGGCCTAGCGGGGGTAGTGGCAGTGCGTCGCTGAGGGGGCCGCCCACTCAGCCGGCCTTCCCACCTTTGTGTAAGAGGTGCTGTCCTCCAGGTGTGCGGCAGGCGGTCTTGTTGGACAGAATTAGGCTGCTTATCTCTGAGCGGCGGAAGATGCGATTATGCCTTGCTGCCGTACAGTGCCTGAAGCTACTGAGGGACCTTGGCTGTGCAGATGCACCCTTGCCGTCCACGGCGGCGATGGCTGAATTGCGAAGGGGATCCCCTCCCAGAGGAGGGGGTTATGGGGTGGTTGGAGTTGATGATGTCAGCCCTCTCTATAGCGGGGGGTTGACTTCGGTGGCAGAGTATCCGTTTGCCAGCTTTGCATTTGCTGTTCCGACTGCGGAAGGGGCTGCCCCTCCGCAGTCGCTCCTAGCGCCGATCCGTGTTGAGCCGTCTGATTCCCCCTCTTGGAGGGCACCAGCAGGGACTTCCAATGTGGAGCTGGCCATGGTGCTGGCAACGCCTGTACTTGTCTCCAGGATTGCCTTGCTGCCAAGTCCTAGTGGCTTCTCTGCCGGGGAGGAGCCTGTCGTCGACATCTGGGCAGGGAATAATATGATGGAGGGTGGCAGAGAATACGTGGGTCAGTGGGATGTCAGCTTAAGCTTGGGTTCTCAAGGTGCTGGGGCCGTCCGACCCGCCGGTGCCGGTGCCGGTCAACTTCTTCAGCATGCCGTAAAGATGGGAAAGCCTTGCAGAATTGTCTGGCTCAAACTGTCCCTCAAGGAATGGCCTGGTATGAGCAGTGGCAACAGCAGCAGCAGCGCACGAGTAGCAGCGGTGGCGGGTAGCAGATCGATGACTTTGGCGACTGGCAAATCGCTTGTGCCAGAGAGGCCGGCAACAACCAACGGCCATTCACTGCTTGATGCAGGGTTCGATCTCTTGTCTTTGTCTATGAATGCCTCAGCCCCGCAGTCTGCTTCTGCTAGCGCCCATGGATCCGGAGGTACAGATTTCTCTTCATTGCCAGCGCCTCCCGACCTGTCTAAGCGTTGTATACATGCACGCCGCATCCTGATCCTCGGTCACCGGTTGCCAGACTGCGAGTTTGATGTTGCTCCACTAGTGGAAGACAGGGCTCAGCCGTCCAGGTCGGTTAGGGAGCTCCCTCCGAAGAATCGTATTAGGATTCAATCGGATGGCGAAATTGCCAAGGCTGGTGGGAGGGTGGTGGAATACCTGCTTCCGATGTCCACACCGGCCATTGATGGCTTTAAACTGGATGCATTCAACTGTGCGAGAGGCAACACGCTTGTTCCTGTGGCAAACGTGGCCAAGGAAAAGTCAGCGGTGCAGCTCCTTGCTGCCGAAGTTGATGCATGCAACGTGCTGGCGATGACCATTCGTGTTAGTGCGGGGGTGAACAGGGGATCGATGCTTGCGTTGGAGACAGTGGGTCTGTTCGTTTTGCCTTCCACCAAGGCCGGATCACCTCTTTTCTTCGACTTCCCGACGAAGGTGCTTGGTGCCCAAGTCCTTGTCTTTGAGGTTGGTGGTGACCTCTCAGGGCTGTCAGATGAATCCATGGACGGCCCTGATACCGATGGAAAGGATCCGTTGGGAAGCCTTTCACTCTCCGGGAAGATCCGCTTGTACAGATATGCAGGAGCTGGAGAGTCAGGGAAATGGCTGCAGATGAATGCACCTTGATGAAAATGCCACCACATACGTCACTGCTGTAAAGTGCATCCAGATTGAGAGGGGTTATATTCGAAGGGGTTTGTGGGAACATGTTCGACGAGGTGCATGATGTGTGTGAATCCCACACCCACACACAAACACACACAAACACAAACACA